CTCCAGTGAGGCCACGGAGCCCCCAGGACACCCCATTCCCTGTTCCGGGCACTGGGCAGCTCGAGGGGGGATAATGAGCCCATATGGAGACACCTGATGGATGGGGCAACCCCGACTCCAGCCCCAGCCCCCATCCCGGGCAGGTGAGAGGGGCCAAACCCTCATCTGTGCAAGGGGAGGGGGAAGGAAAAAATAATTAAAAAAGTAAGGAAAAAAAAAAAGATATAAGAAACAGAAGATGGAAAAGAAGCCGCCTCGGCAGCCACCGCGCAGAGCGGGCACGGCGGGGGAGCCTCGTGGGTACCTGGGCAGATATTTATGAAATAAATGGTAATTTGTGTAAATAAGCTATAAGGATCCCAGAATATGCAAATTGGTATTAATTTATTCAGAGTTGTACATTGGTGTGTACATAATATTTAGAGTTTAACTCATCGCATTTAAGGGTTTTTTTTCTTTTTTTTTTTTCATTTTACATGAACATATATATTGTAAATGAAAACTATTTAGCTCTTTGTGATTGAAGGAGATATCGGTTTCTCTAACTGTGTTTTAAAATATTGTTTATCCCGCCTGTTCTCTAGGACAATCATGTGCCACCAGTAAAACGATTTTTGGAGTCATTGAAACTAAGAGTTCAATCCTTTAATGGACTTTTGCAAGAAAAAAGAAAAAAAAAAACAGCAAATCCAAAACTTAACTAAAATATCGCTACAGTGCGGGGTATAGAGAATGCAGGAATAAACCTCAGGTTTTTATTTTTCACTCCAGAAAAAAAAAAAAAAAAAAAAAGTATAATAAATTTAAATATCACAGGACTGTGCTCTATATTTGTTTTAAAATAAAAAAGATACATGATTTGCAACGTGCTGGTTACTCGGGTATCTGTCTGTTCGGTTTTGATGAATTCTCACATCTTTCAATAAAAAAAAGAAAATCTACTCGGAGAAGTCCTGCCGGCTCCCGCCTGTTTCATTCCTGTCGGGGCCGCCGCTCCTCCGCAGGTGCGCAGCGCTGGGAGCCGCCCCCCTTCCGAGCTGCGCGGAGCTTCCGCAGCCGAGCCCCTTATTTATTGGGGAAAGAAAACGCCCCGGGTTGCCACCGCGCCGGCGGAGCGTTGCAAGGGGCTC